TTAATTTCGGTTCTGTTAAGTCTTTCAAAGGCTAAAACGTTAAAGAGCATGGCAATACTTTATTTAAAACAATCAAAAGTTATGTTTCGCGATCCTGTAATACATGCTGAATGTTTGTTTTTCACTTTCTGAAGCGACTCTCGTTATGTTTTAGAGTTTCGCAGTGAAGGGAAAAAGCTTTTAAAAACAACAATCTTTTCCTTTTTTTTTTTTTTATTTGCTCACAGGTTGTAACAAATTCACACTCTTTGAATGTAAATATCTGACTTAATATATACACTTGGTGGCAGGAGGTTATATATTTTCATTATACACACATAATGAAAGTTCTGTGCCAAAATATAATGTTAAATAATTTAATGTCTCTTAGTGTTTCATCCATTGTTGGAATAGTGTTTACAAAGGCAGTGTTTATTTTATTCTTCACTGTTCCTGCCGTCATCAGCCAACCATCGCACCACATACTGTATAAGCAAAGGTGAGGACATGAATGTCATGGCGCTTCGAGCATGCACTGATTGTAAATTATATTGCTTATGCTCAATCTCTTACATTGACATTATAGTTACTGGCAGGTGTCATTGTTATTAAATTTGATGTTGTATGCACTTTGTTGATGAGAAACTTTAAATCTTGCCGTTTGCTGTGATGCGCATTATGTATTTATTTATAACCGATTGAACAGTGAATATTAGGTATTCACTGGGCCAAATGAGGGACGCCTGGAGACTGTTGCTTTGTTGAATCAAATCTTCTACGATCATCAGCAGCTTTTCTTTGCTTCATATATAAATACACTCTTTTAAAGACAGTGAATCATTTGCAGAATTGGAAATAAAGTATTTGTTGAATGGTGTAATGAGTGGTCCGGTGTGTTTTTATTTCCTAAACAACTGTGACACTTAATTCACATGGACACACAGAAATAAAGTCAAGAGATAACTAAATAACTAAAGTTAACCTGGGGAGGAATTATTAAAATTATTTATTGGTTCATTATATATATATCTTTGCTCTGATTACTGTGAAAATGCAATTAAATCAACTTTTTCTGGTTGTAGTATCATCTAGCATTTTTTAAAATGCATTATATATTATATAGGCAGTGTACACCCTGGACAGGTCGCTAGTCTGTCACTTAAGGATAATTTAGAGAAGCCAGTTAACCTAACAGTCATGTTTTTGGACTGTGGGATGAAGAAAGAGTATCCAGAGAGAACCCACGCATGTTCAGGGAGAACAAGCAAACTCCATGCAGAAAGACCCTGGGCTGGGAATTGAATCCAGGCCCTTCTTGCTGCAAGGCAGCAGTGAATTTTTATTTATTTATTTTTTTTTTTTTCAACATTAATTTGCACTTTGACAGCATTGCAAAAGTTGGAGTCTGATTATTTCTTCTCTTGTGATTATTTCTTCTCTTGTGAACATCTTTGAATATTTGCTCCTACTTTTTTACATAATTTTCCTATTGAATTAAAACCATTATTAATTTTTTGCCACAAAAATATGTTTTTTTTGTTTTGTTTTGTTTTGTTTTTTACTTATGTGTTTATGCTATTTCATACACTTGGAAAAAGCTCCCAGTTTCTTTGAGGTAGTAGCAGGCCCATAGTATTACGGCTCTTCCACTTTACCTAATAGTGGTAATGAAGGGTTTTCTAGATATTCAAGCTGTGTTTAATACCATATACTCCTCTGGGCTAATGCTTGCTGGCAAAGCTAAATTACTGTAATTTCTCCCAATGTCTTTTGCATGAGATTCCTCTGTCTCAAACACCTATTTGGCTTATAGATATATGATTTTTGTTTTTGGAGCAATAGGAACTCTAAGATGCTCCTCAGACTAAAATTACTATAGATTTTTTGACAGTTTATTTTTGGAGTTTTTCTTTCATTCCTGTTATCATCCTAAGTGGTGGCAAGAATAAAATATTAGTCCTGTCCATTTCTGAGTTTTAGTTTTTCCCTTTTTTTAGTAAGTCGATATAATTGGGTCTTTGTGGTGTCACATTTTTACACCAGTAAAATGATTTGTTTATTTTATAGCATAAAAAATAAAGGATAAATATAATTTCAGTGTTATATTTTTTTGTGCACAATGAAAATCAATCTTTTGAAGAATAGTCCCTCTAGTCTCACAGTTTCTCTTTTCAACCATCTTTGGAAAGCAAAGCTTCATTCTAACACTTCATTTCCAGTAGAGTACTTTTAGAGTAAAATGAAGAATAATTTTGGGTTAGTTAATTCCCACCTGCTTTTAGATCAGCAGATCTGCAGTCTTTACAACCCAACAAGCCAGTCCAGTAAAACAAATTTCCTTTGGAGCTGCAAACAGGCCAGTTCAGGGTTTCTGGAAAATGAAACAAAATTTCTGATAAATGCTAACAGAAAAACTTTTAAACAATAATTATTTCTAAAGTTTTAGGATACAATAATAATAAATAGACAAAAAAATAATTTCATATGCAATGCTGATATTTATGGAAAATTGTGCTGCTTATTGTTTTCAATGTAATGATTAAAAAAAATCACAGTATTTTCAATTAAAAAAACAAAAAACAAAATAAAAAAGTTGTTGAATTGATTAATTGACTTAATTAGTCTTATAATGGGGAAATTCACTGTTCACAACAGGCTTTAGTAGCATACAAAGTAGGAATAGGAAATTGGAAAAATGAAGAAGAATATGCAAAGAAAAAAGAACACTAGGGCATTTATGTACAAAAGTAACCAGATTTAAATATATAAATATAATTAATAAATGATACACCTTAAAAGCACTAGTTGATTCTTTATCATTTTTATAAAGAGCCTCTAGGACACAGGTTGCAGACAGAAGCAGGGCCGTCACTAGGTTTGAGAGACATGGGTGGCTTAGCCCCTAGGTAAGAAATTTTTTCAGTGCACTTTCTAAGGCGCTGTCTATAAATTCATTATTTTAAGAGCAACATACCTGGGAAACACTTCCCTCACTAATGCTACTTCACCAACTAAACTACACCAGTTAAAATGTGCTAAATTACAAAGAGTAAATGGTAGGTGCCATGCATTACTGCATAAATGGAAGAAGGCAAGTGGTTCGCCACTCATCATAATGGAAACCTTCTACAGAAGACAGTTGTCTAACCAACAGACTCCCAACATCTTCATAAACCCTTAACCTGGCCATTCATCTTTCCCCATCTCCCCTGCACCCACAACCTGTCAGGAACCCCTGTCTGCTTTGCAATAACCCTGTTTCTGTGTGTGTGCTTGGTGTGTGTGTGTGACCTGGACTTTGGCATGTCTTTCTCTACACCTGGCACAGAGAGAAACACATATATGTGAGGAACTTAACAATAAATGCAGCATTATCTTTGATAGATTTCTGCTTAATCTAAAGTTTAACCACAAAATACAAGTTGCATAAATGGACAGTAGGCAATAGGCAATAGCATCATTGCAAAGAAGGATATCCTTGAGACTTTTTCACATCAGTCTGACAAAGTTTTAATACAAATAAAGGAAGTATTTTTAAGTACAATGTATTAATGAAAACACAAAATCAACAGTATATGAAACGTACAACTTAGAACTATAGTCAACCCAAGGAAGCACTACCATATCACACAGTGTCGCCCTATCAGACTGGTGGCACATAGATATGGGAGAATTATCCTGCCATAATGCAAGAGCACATAACTTCAATTAGAGAAAAGAATTTCATCTTCTTGCACTCAAAACTTATAATGCTCACACTCAAAACATGCGCTCTCTCTCAAATATTTTCTCTTCTCTCAAAAATCTTTGTTTCTTCTCTCAGATTTAAACAGATATTTTCTATATTATCACAGATATTTTTTCCTCTCGCTTGCCTCCATCTCCGCTCTGCACGGGTCTCAGTTACGCTCTGCTTGCGGATTTGTTTTGCTCTCTCAGACTGCAGTTGGATCGTTGCCTAGCAACCTTTCCAGCCAATAGAACGACAGCCTCGGAAAAGGTGCGCTTGTTTAACCCTACGGAGTGTGCCTGTGCTACTACGCCACTTATAAAGCGTCAGCTGAAACTGCTATTTACAGTAGTTTTGTGGCTGATTGTTGTTTAGAAATAGAAAACCTGGTTTCATTTCTTAGTTTTGCCCTGGATTTTGTAGCGTTTGTGGACGCTACGTCGCTACTTGATCAAAACAATAACGTCGCTACAGGAAAGTTACTTGATAAATAAAGCAGCGACGCTACGGTCAAGCTACTTGAAAATGTAGTTAAACTAATAGCTTCGCTACATGTAGCGGCGCTACTGCCCATCACTGCTCCTGTGACAAAACTATTATAATGATGCTAGTAGGCTACAACAACATCGTGTTTTCCCACACCACTGACTTTGTTCACCATGGTAACGTAATTCCTACTGAATCAGACAAGCTATTAGGCCTATATTGTCTCTTTCCTCACTCCAGGTAAAGTGAAGAAAATGTAAACCGCTGACATCAAATGGCAAACTCACCGTATGTATCTGCACGCAACCATAACTTTCCTAATCAAGCTCGATGACTGTGTGGAGATTCAAAGGGCGCGCTGTTGCTGCTATGGTCCAGTTGATGGCCGTGTACCACGTGACGTGACGCTGGACGCGGAGCCAATGAAGGAAATGAATATACTAACGATATTAATAATTGTATAAATAATTGTGTTTGTAAATAAACTAACAGGAACTTATCTTCAGATTAACTTGCCTTCTTGGTGGCTCGTTTTCAGTGCTTTACTGCAATTGTTTGGGGTTATATGGAAAAAAAATCAATAAATAAAAAAATAACAATAAAAATCGCAAAATAATTATGGGGTGGCTAATACCAACGAAGGGATGACTTCAGCCACCCTAAAATAGGTCTAGCCACGTCCCTGGACAGAAGGTTAAGACAGGCAAAAAAAAATAGCATCTGAAATTGAAGTTTAACTAAATCTACCAGCAGGTGGCGGTAGTTCATGTCTGCGCTGTATAAAACAGCGGAAGAAGATTGTTTGTTTTTTCATTTCCGAGTGACCCATTTAGCTTTGCGCATTAGCATCAGTTGATAATCGGCGTCTGAAACAAAAGAAATGGCCCTCCTTTATGTAGTGGTTTGTTTATTTCATTAGTACACCTACGCCGTTCTTTAAAAAGTAGGTGGCACTTAGTAAATTACATTTATAAGCCCATAATTTATAAAAATATAGGATCCGTCGTAAGCTTGTTTATCTGGTATCGGTTAAAAAGAGATGTCTGTTCTGAAGGCGTCATAAATGATTGCGTGTTACTTAGCCGTTTTAATAATTTCCTGATATTTTTACGATATACTTGGAAGAAAAATATTTTTTATCTTTAGGTCCCTTGGATGTTCAGCTTGGTAGGTATATTTTTGCCATAAGCTACCCGTTATTTGATGTTTACGTTTAATATGATCAATGTTTGCCATCTAAGCTAGACTTCAGTTTCTGTAATGTTTAGCTTGCTCATGTTTTTAGTGTAACATAAAATGGAGTAGCCCCTTATTATATAAAAAAAAATAGGAGTTTGATAGATAACAAATAGTCACTATCGCGTTTAATAAACGGGGTTTGTGTGATTGAGAAAAAGTGGAAGTACAGTGAAAAAAGGGATCGCAGCGCGACGATACATATATGAGATACTGATTAAAATGTGTCATTTAGGTCAGCATGGGTCATCATAGCCTATTTTAGATGTGTAATAAATCTTCTTCACACTAGTATTTGCTGTTTTCATAAAAACTCCACACACAGATGGAGGCTATTTGATTATCCAGATCCTGACAGATGAGGCTACATCATGATTTTTCTTTTTCTAACCGTGTTAAAGAGTAACATACTTGTTTTATTTAATTTTTGAAAATGTTACATTCCTTTAGGGATGCTTAATACAATGGATTTATTTGTGGCTAACCCTCATTTGTCCTCACTCGTCACTTTTTTATTTTTCTAGTCTCTTGAATCATAATCTTGAATCATCTTTTTTTTTATTATTATTTAACTTTTATTTAACCTGGAAAAACAATCCCATTGAGATTAAAACCCTCTTTTTCAAGGGAGTCTTGGCCAAGAGGCAGCAAATTTGCAGAAGAAACAGAGATACCTTAAATTAAATGACAGGTACATCAAAAAATAAATAAATAAATAAAAATTACAGATCATTTAGGCTGCTTTTAATTCTTTCACTTTCAAGTTTAAAACATTTAAAGATAAAAACTCAGTCAACTTCCAGTTTCTTTGAAAAAAAAAAAAGGTCCAAGCACAAGGAGCTGCTTAGCTAAAGGCAGAGGTGTCAAGTAACAAAGTACAAATACAAAAAAACTATGGTTTTATGTTTATAAATATTTATTTCATGTCATGTGCACCATCCAATGCAGATCATTTGCCCCATCCACATTTAGTGAAAACTAATGTAATTGGATGAGTCATATAACACAAACACTCATTGGTTAGCTATCCGTTAAATTTGTGCTGACGCCAAAGGAAATTATCAGAAGCAAGCGGGCGTTCTTTAAACTGCAAACACAAATTGTCTCAGCCATGCTACAATGATGTTGAAATGTTTGAGAGGTCGGACACAGGCGAGAGCGTATCGGGAGGTGGAGATCAACAAGACCTCCCTCGTCCTTGGCCCGATCTCAAAACATAGAAACTAACTCCCTTGGTTTTCTTGGTCATGAATGCATTAAGCAACTGAATGTACATGGCTCATTTTTGTACTATATGATTCTAACACTGATATAAACAAACTAAAACCCTCAGAAAGACTCAGGAATTTTCACAGCGTAAACCTGAACAAAGTTATTACGATTATTATGCTATGTTTATAAAAATCTTTTAATATAAAATTTTTTTAAATATTTGCTCTAAATTAGAAAACACAAACTACATAAAATCCAAAATCTCTATCAGCAGCGATAACTACTGTAATTATAAACTGCAGTATGCATTGAAATACCCAAGATGTATTTAACTGTCTGTCACATCACCATAATTGAATAATAATTGTAGTGTGATATACTGATATTGAATTGTTGCCCTACTCTTATATAATTAAAGATTATAAAAGGGTATAATTGAAGATTTATGATTTATATTCATATATCTTGTTGGACCTTATTGTCAATCATAAAAAATCCACCTTTTTGGCTGATAGCCTGCCAGCTCTGTATTAATCTAACATTATAAGAGAAATTAGCCATTGTGTTCTTCTGTGCTGTAGTCGGGAAGTGAGCTCACAGCCCCATGTCTGCGGAGGCTTCAGTCGGCCGTCATGATGGCGACTCCATCCAGTCTGCCGTTCCCCTGCCTGCCTGCCGCAGCACAGATGAGCGCAGAAATCCGGGTCTGATGGGGAGCAAGTACGTCAAGCTGAATGTTGGTGGCTCCATACATTATACGACCATCCAGACGCTAAGCAAAGAGGACAGTCTTCTGCGAAGCATTTGCACCGGAGCAACAGATGTTACCATAGACTCTGAAGGTCAGTGGCTGTCTCTCTGGTTGCTATTCGCCTGTTAGCTCACCTCATAGTGAAAAGTATCCTACCCTGTCTTCTTAGGAGCCCTGAATTTATTCTTTCGAAAAATTTTATGTTATCAGTTTTGAGCTATTCCCCATTTTTTAGCCTAAATTCTTGTTATTCTGACACTTGAGTGAAAAATCCCTCCCTTACGGATCTCCCTGTTGCTTTAGGTTGGGTGGTTTTGGAAAGGTCCGGCAGACATTTTGGGTTGGTGTTGAACTTCCTGCGTGATGGCTCGGTACCACTTCCAGAAGACCAGAGAGAACTTGATGAGGTCCTGAAGGAGGCCCAGTACTACAGAGTACAGGGACTCGTCCAGCACTGCCTCACTGCCATGCAGGTAGGTGGAAGAACTGAGGTTTTTATTGACAAGAGCTGCATGCAGATAAAGCAAAAAGAAAAAAAAGTGAAAATAGTTTGTTTTTATCATACTTAACGTATTAGTCAATGTGTTGAGCTATTTTGGACTTTTTCATTGGGCAGGGTTAGTTATTGCCTATTTATTCATTTTATTCATTATGTGTCCTGTAATAATAACTAACTGGACAGTTTACTTTTATTATAGATATTGCAGAAGTAACTGCTTTGTCTCCATTGAACTGTTAAAAGGAAACCTGCTCTGGAATTTTACTTAAACTGTCAACAGAAAAGTTCAGCAACATTTTGCTTAATATTGCCAATATGTTCTGGTCCTTTTGCAGTCTTGCTGATTTTTATTGTTTTTATGTTTGTATAAAAAATTGTGCTATTGCAAGTCAATCTTAACACTTGGGGGGCTGTTTAAATTGGTTTGAGTGAATTCTAAAAGGTTTGCAGAATATTAACCACTTGAGTGTTACTTTAGTCAACTTTTCTCAGGTACTGATTTAGGCCATGACAAAAAATCGATTCAATTAATTAATTTGAATTCCTTGTTGCAAATGATTAAAATAAAAGATTGTTTTGTTAAACGCTGCAATTTTGGCTCCCTGGAGCTTCCAGAGCTGTAGTATTACTCAATGGTGCATTTCGGTAAACGACAACATGGCTACTAGTGAGAGTGGGAAGTTGGTCCTTAAAAAAAGGAATAAAATCATCTGTTGTTTGGAACTGGTTTGGGTTTGCTGCGACAGATGTAGAGAAAGAAACCCCACGCATATGGAGGACCAACTCTGCCATATTTAAAAATAAGTACAGAAATAAATAAATGCTCAATAAATATATAAGCATACAATTAATTGCCAACAAAAATACAATAAACAAATAAATGTAAGTAGAAATTAAATTATAAAGTGAGACATAAATGTATATAACTCTTAATTAGCTTCTTTATTTATTTGCCTTTGTAATATTTACCTTATTTTTTTTTTTGTCCTTAATAATCTTCAACTTTATTTTTTAATTACTTACATTTTAAAGTATTTATTTATGTGCATGTTATAATATTTTTGTCTTTTATTCTTCCTTTGTATTTTTTTACTTTAGTTATTTCTTCGCCGCTGTTTATTTCTGACCTTTTTACATTGCTGTCTTTTTACAGATGATTTTATTCCATTTTTAAATATGGCAGAGTTGGTCCTCCATACACGCAGCGTTAAAGGTGTTAAAGGCAGCAGCACCACAAACCCTTTTTCAGCATCTTAAACAGAGTTATCCAGCAGAATATGAAAAATGCCAGTCTTTCTGGGACAAACAACCCCGAACACAACAACAAACCTCAGCTAGAATCTTAGGCTGGATGGTGATGAAAACAAACATACCTAATATCAACTATGTTGGTGGAAGCTAGGGTAATTAGCATGACGGTTAGCATTAACTATAAGGATGGAACTTTTCTGATGGTAAAAAATTGACTTTATGTGGTGATTTTCTTTTCATGGAATGTTTTTATTATGAATATGCTGGATTTCTTTTTATTTGTGGACCCTTACAGATTGGAATTCTAATAAGACCTCAGGAATGCTTCAAAGATAGGAAGTTGAAGCTTTATTTTAGAAATTCAGATATAATACGCTATATATCTTTGTTAATTGTGCTTTGGAACTCATGGTGTCCATAAAATTAACTTAGTGGTTGAATTGTGGAGAATCTAAGCTTTCTAAAGATGTATAACATGTCTATATTGGTAAAGGTTTAACCAGTGTTATTTTCAAGCGTACTGCTGTATTTCATGTAAATACACAAAACAGAGCGCCGGTGATCCCAAGGATGGATGGAAGTTTTAATAAGTAGGGGGAGAAATCAGAAAATTATAATAATTTAAATTAAAAATAAGAAATCATAGATTTATTTTTAGGCCATATCACCCAGTCCGAAGCTAAATTATAATCTGTTAAATTTCAAGCTCATCCCTTACATGTTAAAAAAAAAAAAGAACCAAGTATCATCTTCCCTCTCTTTATAGAAACAACAGGACATTTTTGAAAGCGTGTGCAGCATCCCAATGATCACTTCAGCCAAAGAAGAGCAGAAAATGATTGCTGCATGTCGAAAGGTAACTAAAACTGAATCTAAATCTCACAGAAAATAAACAAGAAACCTTTAGAAAAAATATTTGCTTGTTTTTCTGTTGCCTGCCCTTTTAAAATAACTTTGATTTGAACCAGATATTTTGTTTAGAATCATAATACACAATTGTTTCATTGTTCTTGTTCGCAGCCAGTAGTCAAGCTTCAAAACAACCGAGGAAACAACAAATATTCTTATACGAGGTAAAACATTTTCTAAGTATTTTGTTTTATTGATATAAATCACAGGTTATTCTAATTCATCCCTTTCTTCTCATTTTTTGTCCTCTCACAAGCAATTCTGACGACAACCTGCTGAAGAACATCGAGCTGTTTGACAAACTGGTGCTCAGATTCAACAACCGGGTCCTGTTTGTGAAAGACGTCCTCGGCGATGAGATCTGCTGTTGGTCTTTTTACGGCGAAGGACGCAAAATCGCAGAAGTGTGCTGTACCTCCATCGTATATGCGACAGAAAAGAAGCAGACCAAGGTGTGTGAAATGTTACATGGCTACTGTTAAATATCCCGGAAACAAAAGCTGTTCTGTTCTTTGAAAATGTTCATGAATTTCAGAGGAATTTAAAGGACCAGGGTTATAAAGCAGAAAGGCATTCATATGAAATAATTTCTGTTTTTTCTGGTGTTTGTGTGTTTTTGTTTTTTTTTTTGTTTTTTTTTAGGTGGAGTTTCCTGAGGCACGGATATTCGAAGAAACACTCAATATCCTTATCTATGAGAACAATCGATCTGGTCCGGGAGGGTTCCACCTCTTAGATTCCAGAGGCTCAGGTTCATCGCTGGGAGCTGGCCATTCTGAGGAAGAGGGAGCCGTGGGAGGAGACAGACGAGTGCGCCGGATCCACGTCAGAAGGCACATAATGCACGATGAACGAGGACACGGCCAGCAAACTGTGTACAAGGACTAACTGTGATTAAAAATGCAGCATGGAAGGATCATTCAATTTTTTTTAATTTTTTTTTGTATGGTTGCGAAAGGAAAGATGGGATTGTCCACAGCAATAGTTCAGTCTACTTATTTCATGAAATGTCTTTAAGCACACTTGCAGGGATCTGGTGGTTAACTGAGTAGAGAGTTTGCTAATGTTTACAACAAAACAATGTGCATAAATGTTTGTTTGTCCTTTCCAACAGAAAGTGCATGAAGTCCACTGTGACTGAAACTGGTCGAAATATTATTTCAAATGTTAAAAATTTATGCATGTCAGTGAATGAGCCTCAAAACCCATTTCTCCCTTAGAAGCAGGCCACCTGCCATGTTTATTGGTGTAAATAGAACTGGCAGCTTTGTCCATTTGATATGTAGGAAACATTTCTCCAGGCTGTGATGCATCTGGTTTATCTGTTGGAGAAAGATGGTACTGCTGAACAGACTGACTGACAAACGTGGAGGAATTTGAGCCTCGACTTGTTAACACTGGAATTAGAAAAGAAAAGCCATGTTTATAGTGAGGTGGTCGAGCAGCTCAGTTTTCTGTGTTTAAATTATTATAAATGCTGCTTCTTGCTTCTTTTTTTATAATTTATAAACTTAATTTATTGTTTGGTATTTAACTTTTGTAAATGAAATCATTCTTTATTATCTGATGCTTGAGTGAGTTTAGATTCTGCAGTGATAGCGTTCACTCCATTGCACTTAGCAGATTTTGAACTTCCTCCTCTAGATTAATATGACTTGGCTCTCGTTGATTGTTTGAGAAATGAGCTGTGACTTTTCTCTTCGTTGTTTTTTATTTTTCTGAGCCATGTTCTCTCATTTCCATTTCATCTTACTCAAAATCACTGAAGTTTTGCCTAAATGACTTGGCCATACAGTCGTTTTCTAAATATTGTTGACTTTCATTTCAGGAGAGGCTATGGTACTATTTTTTTGTTTCTTATATTAAGCACTCTTAAAAGTAAGAAGGAAAAAAAACCTTGAATGCGAATAATGTTTGTACAACTCTTTACATTGGAACACAATGGAAAATGCACTAATTGTACTTCCGTCCGTGAAATATTCAAAATAAATTGCTTATGAAATCCATCTTCAGCGTCCTATTTATACTTTTTGTTTTTTTCCTTTAGTTGTTTTTTTTTTTTTTTAAGGATGAAATGCCGGACTAATTACTAAAGATCTCATAACTCTTGTCCTGATCAAAACATTGATAGTGGATTCATAACATTGTCATAAACTGGAAAATTAGATTAGAAAGGACATGTCGATAAAAGTTATTATTCTACTAAAACTTTTTCAGATCTTGACATAGTACATTCACAAACAAATTTTTTAGCAACTCATTCGATCGACGCAAAGGAGTTTATGTTAGGGAAGTGAATGGAATTTTTAATTTGTGTGCATTTTTTTTATTTAAACGATTATTTAAAACGTTTTAGAAATGTTATATCCACTGGTCTTTTAAGTTGTGTTTCCAATTGGCCAATTTACCCCAAAACAACATCTCAACAAACCTACGTAGATCCTATAGGAGATATCAGGTAATTTTAGCTGAACCCAACCACCCCCTATTTACAGGTTTTTAACATCCGGACATAGATTTACTTTAAAATCCAGTTGAACCAACAGAATCAGGATTCCTGTTTTACCTGATCTTACTGCGAGTGGTTTGATTTTAATGGCTGTATTGTGATGCTTTATTTTATAAAGGTTGATTTTTTTTTTTTTTTTTTTTTTTTTTTTACCCTACCAGCTGTTATATAAATTGGCCCCCATGGATATGAAAGATACCTTGAACCCTTGAATATCAGAGGATGCTGCTATGTCTTCCCTCTTATTTTCAATTGGATTTATTTTTAGTGTGGACTTTGACTTTGGTTTGGCCAGTGTAACTAATGAATATGCTTTGATCTTTTCCCTTAAAAGTCCCGCAAGAGGTCAAACTCCAGCTCTAGTCTAATTTCTCTCACAGTTTGGAGGCTGCCTTTCTGATTGATGGTGTCCCTGCCACCCTGTTTATAAGGATCACCATGTTTTTAGTTTTTCCAAAACCGTATTGCCGATATGTTTGATCTGTTCCGTGATATTGATGCACTTTTTCAGTGATGTTTTCTAACAAAGGTTTTAAAGAACCCAAAATAATTGCACTTTATTAATCTCACACTGAAGATATTTACCTCTGCATTTTGACCCATCCCTGTTGGGGAGCAGTGGGCTGTCACTGCGCAGTGCCATGGAGCAGTATGGGGTTAAGGGATCTTGCTAAAAAACCAAGACTGCAGGGATCGAACCAGGTACTTAAAGCCTTCTCAGAGTTAAAGTGCACTGCTTTAAGCACTAGGCCAACATTGGCTCTTTTCTATCACTATGTCACAAAAAAATCTAAACATAATTAGAATTTTCTTTATCATAAAAAAAATTGAAACAGTTGTGCTGGATTACATTATGCCAATGTAAATTCCCAGTCATCCGGGTTATGGCAACCACCACAAAACAGGTTAAATATTTTGTGATTACATTGAGTAGTTATCCAAGGCACAATGGGAGGTACTAGTAAGGTTGCAAAAATAAGATAATAAAAACAACAACTCAGCTTGATTTAAACACATCATTTTCCTTTTTTAGCAATTATATTCAAGAAATTATGCAGGGATCATATTTCTACAAGTATAAACTGATTGATCAGTATTTATTTACAAATGTACTGTATTTAGAAGCTTCTGTGTTGAAAATTTTATGTGCTTTAAACTAGTTAAAATCTTTCTGAATTTATATTTTTTTATTAATTATAATTCAGTTTTTTTTTTATTCATATTTATTAAATCCTTTGACCAAATATCCTCAGTTTGTTGAAGAGAGTCAGATATGACTTTTTTTTATAAAGTTTTAAAAATATTTTGATGTTCTCATAGATTCGCATTATTCTAATAAACCTGATAACTCCTTTATGTTGCACTCTTCTAAGTTTTAGAGCGAAAGCCAGACATTTTCGTGGAGGGGGCGTGGCTTGTTCTGCGTCACTTCCGCCAACATTTGAGCCTCCCGCCATCAAAAGCAGAGATGGTGTCAGAGAAGGATAAAACTGGTATCCGAAGATTTGTGAAGGGCCAACTCCGCAATGAACCAGACCTAAGGTAAGTTTAAATCCCCAATTTGAATTTCTAAAAGTATAAACTTTGTAAAAGTTTATTTTTTTAGAGGAAGTCTCCACCATGTTTGTTACTGGCGGTATCTGAGCTGCAGTGGCGGCCGGCCCATAGGGGGCGCTGGGGCACCGCCCTCCCTGATAAGAAGAGAGAAACGTAAAATATATTTTTAGAAATTAACTCATAAATGTCAGTTTTACTCTCTAGACTGTGTACCTATAAGCAAAACAAATTGTATAAACTACATTTCCCTATCTACTGTCATTAATTTGTGGATTTCCACAGACAGACTCCTACCGTCTCTGTTCTGGGGGCTGTGATCAGACTGACCCACATTTGCAGAGAATCTGTCAATCATGTACTATTGCTAGGTGAATTTACAGGTGCTGGTCATAAAATTAGAATATCATGAAAAAGTAGATTGATTTCAGTAATTCCATTTAAAAAGTGAAACTTGTATATTATATTCATACATTACATACAAACTCATATATTTCAGATGTTTATTTTGTTTAATTTTGATGATTACAAATGACAACAAATGAAAATCTCAAATTCATCATATCAGAAAATTAGAATATTGTGAAAAGGTTCAAAATTGATGGCCCCTGGTGCCACACTCTAATCAGCTAATTAACTCAAACCACCTGCAAAAGCCTTTAAATGGTCTTTCAGTCTAGTTCTATAGGCTACACAATCATGGGGAAGACTGCTGACTTGACAGTTGTCCAAAAGACGACCATCGACACCTTGCACAAGGAGGGCAAGACACAAAAGGTCATCGCTAAAGAGGCTGGCTGTTCACAGAGCTCAGTGTCCAAGCACATTAATAGAGAGGCGAAGGGAAGGAAAAGATGTGGTCGAAAAAAGTGTACAAGCAAGAGAGATAACCGCACCCTGGAGAGGATTGTGAAACAAAACCCATTCAAAAATGTGGGGGAGATTCACAAAGAGTGGACTGCAGCTGGAGTGAGTGCTTCAAGAACCACCACACACAGACGTATGAAAGACATGGGTTTCTGCTGTCGCATTCCTTGTGTCAAGCCACTCTTGAACCACAGACAGCGTCAGAAGCGTCTTGCCTGGGCTAAAGAGAAACAGGACTGGACTGCTGGTGAGTGGTCCAAAGTCATGTTCTCTGATGAAAGTAAATTTTGCATTTCCTTTGGAAATCAAGGTCCCAGAGTCTGGAGGAAAAGAAGAGAGGCACTTCATCCACGTTGATTGAAGTCCAGTGTAAAGTTTCCACAGTCAGTGATGGTTTGGGGTGCCATGTCATCTGCTGGTGTTGGTCCATTGTGTTTTCTGAGGTCCAGGGTCAACGCAGCCACATACCAGGAAGTTTTAGAGCACTTCATGCTTCCTGCAGCTGACCAACTTTTTGGAGATGCAGATTTCATTTTCCAACAGGACTTGGCACCTGCACACAGTGCCAAAGCTACCAGTACCTGGTTGAAGGACCATGGTATCCCTGTTCTTAATTGGCCAGCAAACTCTCCTGACCTTAACCCCATAGAAAATCTATGGGGTATTGTGAAGAAGAAGATGCAATACACCAGACCCAACAATTCAGAAGAGCTAAAAGCCACTATTAGAGCAACCTGGGCTATCATAACACCTGAGCAGTGCCACAGACTGATCGACTCCATGCCACGCCGCATTGCTGCAGTAATACAGGCCAAAGGAGGCCCAACTAAATACTGAGTGCTGTACATGCTCATACTTTTCATGTTCATACTTTTCAGTTGGCCAACATTTCTATAAATCCTTTGTTTTTATTGGTCTTCAGTAATATTCTAATTTTCTGATATGATGAATTTGAGATTTTCATTTGTTGTCATTTGTAATCATCAAAATTAAACAAAATAAACATCTGAAATATATGAGTTTGTATGTAATGTATGAATATAATATACAAGTTTCACTTTTTAAATGGAATTACTGAAATCAATCTACTTTTTCATGATATTCTAATTTTATGACCAGCACCTGTAATGGCCAATCAGCGTCTCGGAACTTTATGGTCTTGGGGCGCTGAAAATACTGCGCTTTAACAGGCTTCTGAACCCAAGCGCAGGTGCAGACAGTTAGAGGGAAGATGGCGAATGTAACGACCGAGATGCAGCTTCCACCAAATTCGGTGAGATCCTTATTTATCTACCCGTTTGCCAGAAGAACATCCCTGTTGTAGGATATGAACATTTCATGTCATGGTTATTGTGACTGTGACGAATCCACCTCGTCGCTTAAAACAACCTCTCTAACTTTGCGCACCACACACACATTCCTGTTATACTGTGTTTGTGAGGACCAATACACTCGCGCTGAGACCAGTAGCTCCATTAACTTAAAACACACAATCTGTTCCTGGTTACCTACTGGCGTATTGAGGGTGCACACTTAATATTTCAGTGGGGTTAGCCGTGTGTGTGTGTGTGTGTGTGTGGGTATGTGGGGGGGGTGGGTGTGTACGTGTTTATGCTACGGGGACTTGTCATCTTCAGTCTGGCTGCGTCTTTGCTGGGTTCAAACCCAGTTTGGTGTAATTGAATAAGTCAATGAATCTGTGTAAAAGAATTAAGTTGTAAAAATTATTTGTTTTTGTACATCAATTGTTTGTGGAGGTAATATATGGACAAAACTGATTAATGAGAAGAAATCAGAAATAAGAGAGCCTGAGGTGAGGGGCTTAAACTATTTAATGAGGGCTGTGGGAAGAAAAGCGGCAATTTTTGTTTTCTGTTTCTTTGTTACATTGCTGGTAACTGGAGGGAGGCTGAGGCCCAGAGTATCTTGTATATGTTTAGTTTCTTTTGCACCCTGTTTTGAGTTTTTGAGCTCAATAAATCACCAACACCGGTAACCCGACTGAGACTGGATTCTTGGAGGCCAAAGAACCCCATCACAGTGACCCAAATCATCACTGTTACTGTTATTATATAG